GTTAAGAAACAACAGCCGCACAGCAGTGATCGTGTTTATATTTATTTGTTTCTTAGATTTTTATCTATTTATGTATTATGTATTTTATTTGTTTATTATTTTTATTGTAAATATTATAATTTTAAAGTAAATTTATAATGGTGTAGGCCTACAGGGGAGCCAACCATTTAAAACGTTTGGCATCGCGCCCACCACGGTACTTCAAAGGTGGTGTGGAAAATCGTGCCAGGAAGCAAGCTATTGTGCTGGAACAACTCTGTTAATTTGAGAATGCTTTACAACGATTCCTGTTGTATTGATTCCGTTTTGATTCTGTTGACTTTCACAAATTTTCTAAGAAAAATACAAGAGAAAGTATGTCACTTTCTCGGTTTAGGCTTCCGAACAAAGTTTTGAAGTCGTATTTCCGAATTTAACACATAAACACACTGACATCGTTTAAATTTTTTACCCTATATGTCCTATGCTAGATAGGCACAGTTGAAGTGAATTCTACAGGAAAATGTCTGTATGTTATGAAGATTGGAGGAAGTTTTTTACATTCGTTGTAAACGTTGTTTCATTTAAAGCTTACCCAAGGCTGCTCCATTTCAACCATATGTTGTACGAGTTGTTTCATTGTGGACGTTTTTAAAGCTGTTGTTAAAAAATATTATGAATGTATTTTCTTGTTTGAATGTTCAGTGCCTAATTGGTTGATATAATTCGACAAAACGTTGCGGTAATGTGTGCAATTACCGCCTTCTTAAGAAATGCTTTACTGCAGGATATGGTGATGATTGCGGCTGCGCTGATGGCTAGTGCTGAGTATGCCACCTTGGAGTGATGATTCAAGCCATGATGCTGAAGTTTCGTTGCTTGCATTACTTCCAGCTTGTGTTGAATTGTTGCTAGCTCAGTTAACTGAGTAGCATAGTGGTTGGATAGCGCTGAGTAGTTGAAGATGACGGTGGAACTGTCATTGATGAAGTTTTGTTGTGACAGTTCTGAGAATTCTCCAAGGCTTGTATATGCTGATATCAATGTTGCTGTTATTGATTTATGGCCTGTGATGTGGACGGAGTCGTGCTGGAGAATGCATTCCGGCTCAATGGTTAATAAACCGGACCCCTTCAAATTGAGAGAGTTTATATCTTTGTCACATACAGCCGTTTCTTGCGTGAGTGATGATGATGCATAGATCCATTGGTTGTTGTGTGCTAGAGTCATCCTTGTCATATTTGTGAGCCTTGTCAGCGGGCAATTTTGCAAAGTGAAACTGTTGAATAGATTAATTTCACATTTACATTTCCCAGCGGTCAAGTTGTACTGGAATTGAACATTACGACATATGAACGAGTCTTGTGTTACGATGTCGCAAGATTCGAGTTGAGAGGCTGAAACCAAAAAATAGCGCCTTCTATTGATATATATAGCCAGCAGAGAGCTGCAAAGCTGAATGGCTACCATGGTGTTATTTACGTAGTTGGGAACCGGCGTTAATTTATAAATTTTGAATTTATCGTGATTGATTAATGGCAACGTTATATTGAATAACGCGTGACTGCGAATAAGTCCACCTTTGATCTTTATTAATCTATAGAGTTCTAAGAGATCGTCCTCCGATGCAGGTAACTCCAGTGATTGAGGCAAATGACCCTTGATCTGCCTGATCTCGGTTTCGACTTGTGCTGGCGTTAATAATAATGGGTTGATTGGGTATCGATCAGCGCATCCAAGATACATGTTTTTATTCTTTGCAATCTATTAGCTATGAGCGTTAACTGCATAATGCCCAAATTGAAAAGTTGGATCAGTTTGACTTGATATAGGTCGTCATGAAGTGCCTGTTCGCCCTTGTAGGTTTTTTGTTGATTTCAAGTTGTAGATCATAGAAGTTTGACTTCGCGGAGACCAATCCTTGTTTAATAAGGTTTGCTGTTGAGTTGACGACTGATGTTTGATCCCTTAATAGTTTCAGCGTGAATGAATCACTTTCTTGTAACTTAGTGATTGTTGTTGCCATTTTTCGGCATACTCGGAATTAAGTACGCCGAATAATGAGTGTGCGATGTTTCCAATGAAGTCTACTGCGCCTCTTTTCTTTCGCGATCTGTGCAGTAGTCTGTTGTCGAGGTCCAAATCAGTTTGCATGTGTTGAAAATATTCTATGGTGTGTAAACATGAGACATTTGATTTCATTTTCTTGCAGACGTTTCGTTGATGATTTGTTCTGTTGATTAAGAACGCCATATCACTCCAGTAGCTTGAGGGGTCGTAATACACAATTATATTCCATTGACTTGAGGATATGGTAGTGGAGCCTATTTCTTCGAAATGGATTCCAAGTTTAGATCCAATTTCTTATTGGTTGTTCGGGTTGCAAATACCATGGGGAGTATTAGCAACCTTGCTAACAGTGTGACCAAAAGATTGGTTGAAGACAATTTTATTCTTTTAGCTTCTGGTGCAATATTTTGTTCTGTGGTGTCTTCTGCACAGACTTGTGCATCTGTGTTGTTATCATCAATGAAAAGCAAAGCGAGACGATGTACTGGTCGTTTAAAAATTCCCGATGAAGTTTTTACATCGTCAACTCGAATAGATCCATCATTTCCTGGATATACATTTACAACCCGTCCCAATGGCTATTTCATGCTGGGAGTATTATCTTTTTTGATAATTATCATGTCTCCTGGCTTGATGTTGGGAGATGATTTCTTCCATTTGTGTCTTTGTTGTAATTCGTGAAGATATTCATTGGACCATCTCTTCCAGAATTCGTGTTTAACTTGAGAGACAAGTTCCCATCTTGACAAGAGTGATAGCTTCTTGGAGCTGGCTTCAGTGTCAACTTGAGCTGTGGGGTCTTCACCAATTAATAGATGTCCAGGAGTTAGGAAAGAGATGTCGGATGGATCGTTGGTCATGGGTGTTAAAGGACGTGAATTTAAGATTGCTTCTATTTCAATGACTACAGTCTCTAATTCTTCGTACGTTAATGAGGCTGAGCCTACACTGCGGATTAGAAGTTGTCTTGCTGACTTGACAGCTGCCTCCCATAGGCCTCTAAAATGGGGCGCTTTGGGCGGAATGAAGTGGAACTGTATTCCCTTTGAACTGCAGGTTGAAGTGACGAGTTGTTTTCCATTTTCGGAAAAGATCGAGCTGGAGAGTTCTGATAGCTTGTTGCTGGTGCCAACAAAGTTCATTGCATTGTCACTATAAATGTTTTGACAGCGTCCTCTTCGACTAATAAACCGTTTGAAGGCTCCTATGAAGGCCTCTGTTGAAAGGTCACTTACTAGTTCAAAGTGAACCGCCTTTGTAGCGAAACAGCAAAAAACTGCTGCATACGCCTTTGTGGGTTTCTTTCCTCTTATCTTATAATGGATCCACAATGGTCCAAAATAATCGACACCAGCATTTATGAATGGCCTTGCCGGTGTTACTCGTGCATGAGGGAGATTGCCCATTATTTGTTGACATAATTTAGGACGTGCCCTATTACATTATACACATTTCTGTACTATTGCTCTGGCTGTTATTTTTCCTTTTATAGGCCAGAACCGTTGTCTGAATATTCCCAGCACTGCTTGTGGGCTGCAGTGCTTGTTGTCGTCGTGAACCAGCTTGAAGGGAAGCTTAACCAATGCGTCATTGTATGGGAGAAGCATTGGGTGTTTTGTGTCATCTGGTAGAGTGGATTCCTGTAACCGTCCTCGAATGATTCCGTTGTCATCAAGAAACGGAGAAAGTGTGGCGATTGGACTTTGTTTTGCAATCTCTTGATGGTTCTTCAATTGTTTGATCTCATTTTGAAAGTCATGATTCTGAATTGCGCGAATTATGATCACAAGTCCAGCTTCAAGTTCCTTGGTAGTGAGTGCTCCGAGATCCGGTTTTGAGGAGGATCTAGGTGATGATAGTCGGATGAAACGAAGTACATAGGAAATGATTCGCTGCAACTTGCTGAAGGAACCCTTGTGATCGATACTGTAAATAAATTCATAGCTGCATGTAGTTGTTAGTATCATAATGGAGTCCTTCTTGCGTTCAAAGTCGGTAGGAACTTGGAATTGTGGCAGGAATGGTGTTGGCCAACATTCTTCGCTGCCGTGTAGAAATAATGGCCCAAGAAACCACATTTGGCTTTCTGCTAGGGCCCTTGCTGGTAATCCCCGTGAGAGATAGTCTGCTGGGTTATCTTTGGGTTAATGATTGAATCTGAGAGATCCTGTTGCCAACAAATGTTTGAAAGGATGAAGATTGCGAATTTATCCAAGACAGCACGATTTCGGAGTCAGTCCACAGATGCACTGGTAGATCGCTGAATTGCATATCCTTACGCAACCGGTATGCGAGTTGTGCAGCCACGAGCGCTGCGCTAATCTTGTAAGGGTTTGTTTTCTGAGAGGTGCAACTCGAGATTTTGCACATAGCAAGCGTGTCATTATGGTGCCCTCTTGGAATACGGCTCGTATGTATGCTGCAGCTCCAAACGCCTTTTCGGAGGCATCTGAAAAAACGTGCAACTGAATTGTTGTTGGAAGCTTACCCTTGAAGATATGTCGGGGGATTTGTAGATTGTTTAGCGTGACCAAACTTTCACGGAAGTTGGTCCATGTTGGGTTCAATTCTTCTGGTAATTGCTCATCCCAAGTTAGTTTCAGTTGCCATAGGTGTTGGATAAATATTTTCACTTTTACTACAAGAGGAGCTAACAGTCCAAGTGGATCAAATAATCTTGCCAAATCAGAGCTTACAGAGCGTTTGGTGGCGTAGTTTATTGGTTCCACCTTTGCCTTAATGCAAAGGAGGTCAATCTTTGGTAGCCAGATGAGGCCAAGGGTTTTAATTGATTCCCTATCATCACTGCTGAAGTCAAGGTTAACTTCACGGTGATCTTGTGGGAAGTTTTTGCAATAGCTGTGAGTGATTAGCGCTCCATTTGCGGCAATTGAATCCGTGTTTTGCTAAGGTTTGGATCAGTTGTCATTGTGATTCTATCGCAGTTGTCAGACTGTTTGATCCTGCAAGCCCGTCGTCCACATAAAAATTGTCCTTTAGTATCTGGGCGCCTAACGGAAAACTGATTTCATTTTCGTGGGCGACCTTCTGAAGGCATCTCGTGGCTAAGTATGGGGCAGCTCGTGTGCCATAAGTAACTGTGTTTAGCTGATAATATTTGATGGGTACTGATGGATCCGTTCTCCAAAGAATGATCTGATATCTTCTGTCATCTGGATGCACCATTATTTGTCGATACATCTTCTCGATGTCTGTAGTGAAAACGAATCTTGGCAATCGGAACCGAACCAGTATTGAAAACAGTTCGCTTTGAACTGTTGGTCCAGTGTACATTAGATCGTTGAGCGAGTAGCCAGTTGAGGTTTTGGCTGAAGCGTCAAAAACTGGTCGCAACTTTGTAGTTGTGCTATCCGGTTTTAGCACACAATGATGTGGAATGAAATAATTGGGTGTCAATACGGAATTAATATTTGTTTCCGTCATGTGTCCCATCTGTTCGTATTCTTCCATGAACTTAATGTATTGTGTTCTAGTGGATGAATCTTTAAGTAGCCGTCGTTCAAGCGCGATGAATCTTCTATGAGCCATTTCTTTTGATTCTCCCAATGCGGATGAGTCTTCACGAAAAGGTAGTTTTACCATGAACCGATTGTCGTTGTTAGTTTGCACATTTTGAATTAAATGTGCCTCGCATTGTTGTTCATCTTGTGATAGACTCTTGTCACATAGTCCATCGTCATCCATTCGCCATAAGCGTTCAATGACATCATTTAGTGCCTCATGATTGGCAGCTTCTGTATCGACCTTTGAGATGGCGGTTGTTTCGAATGCATTCCATAGGTCAGAGAGCATACGATGTCTCTCATGATAGTAGGATGCTCTGCCTTTTCTATCAGCTAGATCGTTGCGTACTACACGTTGGATTGTTTCACCGGTGGTAGTTTGTAGGTTGATTAGTTCTTGTATCGACGTCATCTTGTGAATGTGTCCACTTGACACTTCAACCACTTGTTGAATGTATTTGGTCTTATTTGCCTATTCTTGGAATCAGGCATCAAGTCCGTCCACTTCTTTACCAGCTTGATCGTGTTGATGTTGTGTGTTCAAATCACACTACTTCTGTAGCAAGATGTATGTGTGATCTCAGTAGACAAGACGTGCCAATCACGTCGGGGGGGTCACCAAAAAATGTTAAGCTCGAATGCGGTGACGTGAACGCAATACCTCAGTATCACGAAGACGTGCCAATCACGTCGGAGTCACCAAAAAATGTTAAAAAATGTTATGAAAGTATTTTCTTGTTTGAATGTTCAGTGCCTAATTGGTTGATATAATTCGACAAGACGTTGCGTCAAGCCGTACCAACTTATTATATTTGGTTCTTCCAGCACTTGTAACTGGAAGAAACCACTAAACAAAATACCGGTCAATGTAGTAGTGCAAAGACAAATTTATTGATAAAGTTATGGCTTATAAATTACAATTCTTATAAACTAATTAAGAATTATGTTGCTAAAAATAAAGTCATAAAAATGATGCACTTGCATTTTGCGTTTATTTATTTCCGGCAATATGAACCGGTTGAAGTGTGCCACAAAAATGCAATATAAGCAAATTGATGTAAACGATCGATGACACACTTCAAGGTCTGGATTACGTAACAAACGATATTGTTGTTTGTGGTCAGTTGTATGAAACGGACAAACACAGAAACGCGATTGTGCAAATGCAAGTGCATAAACAATTGAACTTGGTCATGTTGATATGTGAATGTGTAAATGAAAGATACAAAATTGAATGAACGTACATATATTTAACTTAAGAACTGAAATTGAATAGAAGTATATACTTAAAACTAAACAGCTGTGTCTTTGCGAAGCAATGCGAAGCAATGCGAAAAACTTGTTCGCGACATGACCGGTTCCCCTAATACATGCGTAAAATTATATGAAGTTTTAAAAATTAATAAAAAAATTCGGTTATCAAATACAATCGCTTGCTTTGGGTGCTAAGAATAAATAAATAAGCCGGATAGTTGATGCCTTACGTTGAGGTAAATACTTTAACAAATAAGCAAATAAAAAGCAAATGAACAACGTTTAAAAATTTCTAGTTGATTATAAGGGGGGAAAGCTTTTGGAATATATGCCATGGTAGAGATAGAAGTTTTCGTAACCAATGCTACCAAGCTTGCAAATATATATCCTCTTGAGAGGGAGAAAAATGTGAACAGAAGGCCGAAACTTTTGAAGTAGAGAAAACTCCACTAACCTTTAAATTTTAATTTAATCTCTAATTTTAATGAGAAACATAAAGAGGACTTAACTGAAACAAAATTGCGTGCCCTGAAGCATGCGATTAAAGTAACAATTCTCATGATGTATCCTTCGAAATGTAAAGTTAAATTTGTTATTTACTGTTAAAATTCAAAAATAATGAATACTATTCAAAATAAATAATAATTCAAAAATAAATAATACTTAATTAATGAATACTTGCCTAGCGAATTTTACTAAGTTCTTAATGAGTATAGCGTATTTTTTGGAAAACAGATCACCCATGGCAGTGCTGGAAACCAAAAGCGCTCTCGACTGCGACATTCACACTATATCTCACTACGGCTCTCCAAGTTTTTATTCGCTAATTACAGCACATACCGATATCTTTAATGCTGGTCTCATTTCCACGCAAGAAAAAGCAATGGTTACGCTCGTTGAGAATACTGAAAGTAAGTTTGTACTGATTTAAACGCACAAACATGGAAATTTAAAAATATATCCTTTCATAGTGCATTTGGAAGCCTTCGCAGGCAATGAAACTCTGTTTCATTGGTTGGAGTTCATTTCAACAGGCGTGCAGTTGCAATCACCTACTCTTAAATGTCATTGGTAAAAACGCTTCCAATACTTAAAATAATTTAATTAGCTATTAGTCCAATGCGTTAGATGTTTCACCCATTGCTCCAATTGTCAAAGAAAATTCATTAAACACATAACAAAAACAAAGTTAGTGGCACCTAAGAAGTGTTGTGTCATAAGCGCACATACGCGCAAAAATGTTTTGATACAACACATACATGAGCAGTTTGATCTACTTTCAATATGAGGCATTGAGCGAGATAAGAGCTGAGAAAATTTTGAAATAAAATATTAAAGCAAAGTTTTCAAGGAAAAAAAGGGGAAAAAATGTTTTAAACAACTCAGGTGAAAAGCGTAAGAAAAAAGAAAAGAAAAAAAAGAAAAAAGGTATACGGAATTGGTGGTATTACAAACTACAAAGAAAGAGATAAGCATAAGAGAAAAAAAAGAAAAAGGAGAAAATAAAGCTTTTAAGAGAAGAAAATTTCAAAGTTTTGCTACTGCTGTACGTTTCTTTCTTACTTTCTTACTTTGTAAGTGTATATGTGAATATAATTGCATTGACCTTTTCTCCATTATTCAGTCATTAAATAAACTACTTATGTACTTGTTGAAAGAAATAAATAACATATATATTTATATAGGTATATAAATAAATTAAATACCCATATCCTTAGTTGCAACTAACAGCATTAAGTGATCCATTTTTTTTTTAACACATATAAATGCCTTTATATCATTAACGAGAAAAAAACAAATCAGAAACGAAACTAAAGAAAACACAAATAATAAATTTTGTTCTACTAGAGGAATGAAAGAGTTTTTAAGCACCTAATGTTGAGGCATGTGCAAAAGTTGCTTTGTAAAATTGTCAAAATTTGTAATAAACCAACAAACAGTGAGAATAAAAACTTTCAGTTTTATCATGACGGTTTGCTAGAAGCACGTATGTAAAGCGGAAAACAAAGCTATCAGTGAAATTGCCCACGAAATGAATCAAGATATGAAGAAGTGAAACATTCCAAAGAAGCTAACTTACTCAAGGGGAAAAACTAGGAACATTCACAACGTTTGAAACGAATTGCTAATGAATTGATTCTCGAGCAAACGTGTAAAAACTCGGTTTAACCAAAGAATAGTTGTAAAAGAAAAGCTGGAGGGTGTTTTAAAAATATTTGATAAAACCACACCATGTACCGTTGCTACCACTGAAGAAGGCGCTTTCTGGAGGGCGGGTAAGGAAGCGCACGTCTCTTCGTTTGGACAAAATGGGGTTAGGGCCGGGGTTGCTACTGAATAGCGCAAGTATTTACCCCTCTTTTCTTTGTTGGTTTCTGTTTACATATGAACTGCGATGAGCGGCTAAAGTGAGCGCGCTACCGCATTAGCTGGAATGCGTTGAGGGTGAGCGCGTGAGGAAAGGTAGGGGGACATTAGACGGATACAGACGGACGAAGAAAAGACCCACGGATGACGTACCGGACAGGCGACATAGTTGTATAATGGGTGTAGAGAACCTTTTCTTTTATTTTTTTTATTTCTTTTTACCAGTTATTTTGGTTTTGGTTTGGGCCGGGTGCAGCTGCGCTACCGATCAAGAGCTAGGTTGCGCTACAAAAAAAAATTGCGTTACAAATGGCGCCCAACGTGGGGCCAGTTAAACGTTTTTTTTCCAAACTATACCATACAGCTGCACACGTCTACACCGTCCACGTTCACAAAAATTGGAACATTACAAGTTCTTTATGTTCTGATGCCTGTAGTGCATATATCAAAAGCCTTGAAGCCATAAGTTTTACCAGGTCAATTTGTTAACACGTATTGATATCCATAATTTGTTACTTGTCCGCAATCCGAAGACAGTTGGAAGTTTTGAAGAACTATGGATATCACAAGATGAATGACTCTCTGTATAGTCTTAATGGCAATGACTTCAATGATCATTTTGTAGGTGCAGTATTGCCTTGATATGTCTGATAATTCTTATCTGTGGACATCTGTAACCTCTTATGGATGTTTCTCATTCCCTTGCCTATCCGGTCAGAGGTTATTAGTAGCCTGTCAAAAAATTAAATCGAAATCCACTGGAGATGATGGAATTCACCTCTTTTTATTAAGTTGATTTTTCCTTACGCTGCTCGACTCTTAATTGTTCATATTAACCAGTCAACATTTCCGCCTATCTTCAAGATAAAAAACATCCTTACATTGGACGATTTAAGATCTATTTCTATTCTACCGGCTGTGCCTAAAATTTTTGAACATATCCTCAAGGACCAGATTCTCCCCGCTGTTCTAAGTCTCCTTTCACTAGCTCAATGTGCTTTCTTCGACACACCCTCGGTGCTGGACGCAGCACCATCGGCTTATTACTAAGCGTAACGGATATCATCAGACAATATATAAAATGTGGCCTCATGACGTCTCTAGTAGCTTTGGACTTATCAAAAGATTTTAAGTCCGTTAGCCACAGGGAACTTATCAAGAAGATGGCGAGGTCTTTTTGATTTTAGAAATCGGCTTGTGAGCTTATTTATTCATACTTAACCGGAAGATCTCAGTTCGTTAACGCTAATGGTAGTGTTTCGGGTATTCGTCCGGTAATCTCTGGGGTGCCTCAAGACTCCATAGATGTCCTCTTCTGTTCAGGATATATATCAATTGTCTGCCTGAATTTATAAGAACAAACGTCTGCCAGCCTTATCGCAGACTGAGCAGTGGTTTGCGCGGACCGAGCAGTTTTTATATTGAAAATTTTATCTAATGTTCCAACTTTATCACAAAAATGATGCACTTGGTGCCAGTTAATCTTGGATTGACCACATTTTTCCGTTTTTCAGAACTTCGGCAATAATTTTATCCAAGTTTCCAAACGTGCCGTAAGATAAATATTGCTGTCCGAGTATATTTTATTCGAATGGCGAGGAAATTTGCAAGATTTCAAATAATTGTAAACGCATCTTAAATATAAAAGTGAAACTTGTACAATTCTATTAGCTGTAATAAAGATTAATAGGTCATAAATATAATATATATATAATATATCATATCATATCATATATATAATATATCATATATATATAAAATTAACTCAGATAGATAAAGCATGGCTTGGCC